CGGGCGGAGGCCGCCGACTTGCCATCGCTCGGAGGTCCTTTCCCCGTGCACTGGTCGGCTTCATGCGTCTAGTTTCCGCACGGTGCTCGCCAATCTATACATATATATATATATATATACATATATATATATATACATGTACATATCTATGTATGAAGATATACATACACATGTATGAAATTATATGTCTAAGTGAAACTATGGGTGTCCCAACCATCCTGTGATGTTGGGACCTCGTTTTGAAGAGTCCTCCTCCTCCTCCCCCTCCCCCCCTCCTCCCCCCTCCCGTCACCACCCTCACTTTGGCACACCCCTCACACGCTTCGTGGCCCCACGGGGAGCTCCACCGAAGGCCCCCAGTGGGGGTGCCCGCATGCGTCCCCCCCCACCCACCCACCCAGTACAGCGCTTCGTGGCCCCATAGGGAGCTCCACCGAAGGCACCAGTGGGTGTGCTCGCCTATGCGTCCCAGTGGGGGTGCCCGTATGCTTCCACCCCCCACCCAGTACAGCGCTTCGTGGCCCCGCAGGGAGCTCCACCGAAGGCCCGTGGGGATGCCCGAATGCGTCCCCCCCCCCCACCCAGTACAGCGTTTTGTGGCCCCGTAGGGAGCTCCACCGAATGCCCCCGAAGGCACCAGTGGGGGTGCCCGCATGCGTTCCCCCCACCCAATACAGCGTCGTGGCCCCATACGAAGCTCCACAGAAGGCCCCAACGGGGGTGCTCGTATGCACCCCCCAGACCCAGTACACCGTTTCGTGGCCCCATACGGAGCTCCACTGAAGGTCCCAGCGCTACCGCCCCTATGCCATGCGTCCCCCCCACCCAGTGCAGCGTTTCGTGGCCCCATAGGGAACTCCACCGAAGGTCGCAGTGCTACCGCCCGCATGCCCCCCCCACCCAGTAGTGTGTTGTGACCCCGTAGGGAGCTCCACCGACGGCTCCAGTGCTGCCGTCCGCATGCGTCCCCCCCACCCAGTACAGCGCTTCGTGGCCCCATACGGAGCTCCACAGAAGGCCCCAGTGCTATCGCCCGCATGCGTTCCCCACACACACACACACACACACACACACACACAGTCACGCGCATTGTGGCCTCATGGGGAGCCCCACCGAAGAAGACGTTCACACTTGCGGTATTCACAACTGCATATGGTTGGGTCCTTCGCCAGAATAACTGTTAATTTCATGTTAGCAGCGATGCCAAGCTGAAGCGAGTGATGCTCGAGCGTTTTGTTTTTTACAAAATACTAAGAATACAAAGGAAAAACATAAAACGAAAAAGCGACGGGAAGTTCTGGGCAATTCTAGACCTCTGGGTGGACCCAAGACCGTCTTGAAAAACAACGGCTCGCGGTGAAAAACCCACCCCAAAGAGAAGGCCAGGACTTCTGGGGAACAGAACGGAATGCCCGAGGGGAGAGCGCACAGGACAAAATGTCTGCGCATGCACAAGATTGCCTGCCTCTGGCGGCTTCCCCGATACGGATCCTCTCGACCAGCTCCGCCGTTCGCTGCTCAAAAAAACATCGGAGGTCCAAGCGGATTCCTCGGATCGACGCTGGGGCCCCCTGGCGGCGCATCCGGCGCCGCCCCTAATGCGCTCCGCGCGACAGGGAGGGGGGCCCAGCGCCGATCCGAGTTGCTGGTGTTATGTCGATGCCTCTTCCCCTAAACGCAGCCACTCCCTGCTGCTCTTGAAAGGCTCCCCTCCCGAGGCTAGCCAGGGCCGGAGTGTGGGAAATCCGCGCGGACCTGAGTTACTATGGTCATGTCAATCTAGTTTTTCCCCTAAACGCAGCCACTCCCTGCTCCTGAGAGGCTCCCCCCCGAGGGCCGGAGTGTGGGGAATCCGCAGAACTCCGAGTTGCTATGGTCATGTCAACGTTTTTCCCCGAAGCGCAGCCACTCGCTGCTCGTGAGAGGCTCCCCCCCGAGGCTAGCCAGGGCCGGAGTTGGGAAAGCAGCGCGGACACCTCCGAGTTGGCATGGTCATGTCTATGTTCTTCCCCTGAACGCAGCCACTGGCTGCTCGTGAGAGGCCCCCCCCGCGACGCTAACCAGGGCGGAAATGGAGGGGGGCCAAGGCGCTGGCCCGCCTGCAAGAGGGGTGCTCGCGCCGTGTACAAGAAAATCACGGCGCCAGGTTCTGGCCGCTTTCGGCCTCCAGGGATCCTCGCTTGGCCACAGGGCCGTCACAGCATGACGCGCGATGCGAAAGAGGCCCCAAGAAAAGGGACGGGACTTCCAGGACCCCACATTGAAAGTCGGGGCCGGCCAAGAGGGGGGGCGTCCATGAGAGGGGGGGGGGGGGCGCAAATCATGGACGGCGGCATGTGCGCGGCCTAAGGGGGGGGCCAGGGCACTTATTGAAATTAGGAGATGCGCCATGAAATCCGGGGAGATACCATGGCCCCCGCCATGATATCCCCCCCCCCAGTCATCACCCCCCTCTTGGCAGCCCCCCGGAAAAAGCCCGAGCGCCGCATGTCCGGGCAGGGAGAGGGCGAGCGAGAGCGAGAGGGGGGGAAGGAGGAGAAGCGAGACGAGCTCGCGCCACATCTGACATCCTGCCCCTCGCATAGGGGACCACATGCGAGCCCTACCCCCACCCCCCACGATTTCTGAGGGGGAGGGTAGGATTCACTTCGCTCGGTAGCTCCCGAGCGAAGTGAACCCGAGCCTCCCCCTCAGGAGTCGTGGGGGGTAGGGGTAGGGTTAGGTCGGACGTGTCCCCCTACAGGCGGATTCTCGGCGAAAAGATAAAGATCCTCCTGTAGAGGGACAGGCCCGACTTCAGGGTAGGGTTCGCATGTGGGACCCGCTATCTCGCGCATCCCTCCCCGTTGCACTGCTTCTTCCTCGGTCCGCCGACGGGTGTCACAGCGGACCTGGTGCCCCCCCCCTAGAGGACACCACCCTGTTGCGCGGCGTCGGGAAACCAGGGAGCTACATGCACATTGGAGGAGGGAGGGGTGGCGGGCGGGCTGGAGGACGAGCAGGAGGAAGAAGGAGGAGGATCAGGAAAGGGGAGGAGGACAAGGAGAAGCAGCAGCAGCATGACCAGGGGCGCCGGGAGCGGGAGGAGCAGGAGGACCAGGGGCAGGCGGAGGAGTGGAAGGAAGCGGGGAGACCAAGACGAGAGAGCCGTCGGGTCCAGGAAAGCGGCCCGCGCCCTGGCGAGAGCGCCAGTCTAAACGACGTGAGCAAAGCGTCGATCCTGAAAGGAGGCGCACGCTGCAGCGGGAACACCACTCTGAAGCACCGAGACCTCTCTGGCTGCAACCTACCGGTTGACATCCCAACCGTCGAAGCCCTGTGCAAGAACGAAGCGCGGAGAGGGCGGGATACCTTCAGGACGTATTCAGAGGAGAGAGAGGAGAACAGGGAGAGGGGGGAGAAGGGAGGAGGGGAGGGGGGAGGGAGCGGGGGGGGGGCACGAGGGGAAGGGAGGGAGCACGAGCAGGGAAGGAGGAAGGGAGGAGGAAGGGAGGAAGGCAGGCAGGGTGGAACAGGGGGGGGAGCGGCCGCCGCCGCCGTGGCGCGGCCTCGAGGTCGTCGGGCACCTGGCGCACCTCGGCCACCAGCCGGAGGGCGGTTGGCGCCGCCTGGAAGCACCTCGGCGGCGTCGCCCCCGCCCCCGCCCTCCTCTCTCCTCCTCCTCTCTCCTCCTCCTCCTCCCCTCCTCCTCGTCCTCCTCCTCCTCCTCCTCCTCCTCGTCCTCCTCCTCCTCCTTATCCCCTCTACTCCTCTGTCTGTTCTCCTCCTCCTCCTCCTCCTCCTCCTCCTCCTCCTCCTCCTCCTCCTCCGCCCCCTCCTCATCCGACATTACTTTGCCTTACAAATGACTCCTCCCTGTCGCACCCCAAGGCTGGTCGAAAGAGCGTGCCGGGCATTTCGCCTGATAATTCCTCACCATGTATGGCCCTGAAGCTTAAACCTTGACAACAGTTTTACCATCGGGGGCCGCTGGTTTTCAAAGTTGTACTCTCGCCTTACCGCCTTCACATTCCGCCGCGCACGTTCGTTTTAACAATGGTCACGAGTTTCACGGAGTAAGGGCGGTTGGTATTCAAAATGTGGTTCTCCCTTAACGCCGCGTACATTCGTTCAACAAATTGCAAGAGCTTCACGGATTCCCATGGCCAACGTACCAGAAATTGTGTTTTGGAAGGGTTCATGGTTGTGTCCGTGCAGCGATTACGTTGATCAGCGGTGTTGAAGTCCCAAAAATGGCGTTCTGGGACAATTCAGGACCGTCAAGGCGCAAGGGTCAGGTCGATCCGTGGCGTTGGAGTCCCGAGAATGGTGTTTTGGCGTGCTTCAAGGTCTTTACACGGTTCTTTCCCAACGAGGCAGTTCCCTCAGTAGAAATGAACCCTTGTAGGGGTGTGTGAAGAGGGAGCTTGGAGGGAGGGTTCATTCCAACGTGGTTGATGACTCTGGGGGTTGCTCTAATCCTCCTCCTCCTCCTCCTCCTCCTCCTCCTCCTCCTCCTCCTCCTCTTCCTCCTCCTCCTCCTCCTCCTTCTCCTCCTCCTCCTCCTCCTCCTCCTCCGCCTCCTCCTCCTCCTCCTCCTCCTCCTCCTCCTCCTCCTCATCCTCGACCCTCAAGCCTCGAGATCCTCGAGCCCTCGTCCTCCTCCTGGTCATCCTGGTCCTCATCCTCCTCCTCCTTCTTCTTCTCCTCCTCCTCCTCCTCCTCGTAGCCATTTTGGCTCCAGATGTCCGATTCCCTCGGGGTCAGAGTGGAGACCTCTGATCCGAGGACAGCAACCGACAGTTTTCAGCTCCAGGGAAGCGCACCCCCCTGGAGTGCCGAGACTGCCCCTGCCGCGGCGTGCGGCTGCGCGAGTTCTGCCACCAGAGTCTGGAGTTGGGTTCCAGGGTCACGATGGCAGGCGACGGCGCAGGAACGCTGCTGTTCGGGCCCAAGCGGCCGCATTGGGGGTGCTCCCGCTGCGGCACGGCCAACAACTGGGCCTGTCGCCTGCAGTGCCGATGTGGCGCGCGCGCGCGCCGCAGCGGGTCATCACCAAGGCTAGACAGGAGGAGAAGAAACTCAAAGCCGCCGACAACCCGAAGGGGCAGCCTCCTTCGCGCAGCGGTGGCAACGGCGGAGGCAGGCTTGATTCGTCACAGCTGGCGCCATGGGCCTCGTCGAAGCTTGAGAAGGAGTTGGTGGCGCTGCGCAAGCAGGTCCAGCAGCTCAATATGGAGAAGAACAAGGACCCTGCCCCACCTCAGGCAGCCCCCACTGGCGTGTCTGACGCGGCCATGGAGGTTGATGAAGGCTCGGCAGGGGCCAAGGACACGACGGCGACGGCGTTGCAGCGGAGTGCTATTCAGAACAAGATCGGCCACTACGAGCTGTTCGTCAAGTCCCTCGCCCTCTACGAAGACAGTGAAGCTGAGCAGCTACAGACGGCCAAGAAGCAGCTGGGAGTGCTTCGAGTACAGCTACGTGAGCTACGTCCGCCGTCCACGGCACACAAGGTCGCAACGCAGAAGCTCGAGCGCTGCCGTACCCAGCTCGATCGCTACCGCACCGAGGCTGCTGACCGACGCGAGAAGATCGCTAAGTTACAAGAGGAGTTGGACACGAAAGAGGCCGCCATCGTTCAGAAGGAGGCTGGGATTGTCCAGCTCACCATGGAGGTGCGCACCTGTGCCGAGGCGCTGTCGAAGCAGCGCGGCGAGCCCGTCACGGCGGCGACGAACCCTGCGTCCGCCCCCGTGCTCTCGCCCGACTTCTTGCAAGTGGATATGCCCGAGCCTGAAGGCCAGCCTGACCTCAAGCTCTTCTACCAGCAGTTCACCACTGACCCAAGGTTCAGCTCGCTCCAGCAGATGCTGGCCAAGCACGTCAAGGTCAGCATGGTCCCGCAGCAGCCGTCTCTTGTTCAGCCTGCTGGTGGCACTGATGATGATCATGAGTTGGGTGACAAGGCTGACGTCGTCAAGCGCGGAGCCGAGCCCACACTCGGCATGGATGACGTTCGAAAGATGTACGAGGAGTTCAAGAAGGCAGGCACTGTCACAGGCGAATCTGGGGAGCAGCTGGTCGCACGGTTGCATGAGCTCGCCGATGACACGCACAAGGCCGAGCGTGGCCGCGTCGCCCAGCCTGCCCCTGCAAGCGCGGGGTGTGCCTAACCACCAGCCCCGCGTGAGCGGGCTGCGGCTGCGACGAGGCGAGCTTCTACGTGATGGTGCGCCGCTGAGCTCCCAGCAGTCGCACTTGCTCGAGACCTTGAATGCCAATCAGGGAAAACCCACTCTGAAGCGACGGCTTGAACGGACGCAGGCGCTGGTGGTGCTAGTTCAGGAGACTGGATATCATGGGTATGAAGTTGAGGAGCTTCAATCTTGGGCAGGTGCCCGTGGCTGGCAAGTGATCACCGTTGCAGGCAGTCCGACCGAAGACTACCTGCCTTCCGCTGGCGTGGCGGTCTTCGCTCGCAGCGAGGTCGGGCTGCGCTGGCCTGACGGCTACAGCTCGTCGATGTTGGTGCCGCAGCGTGCCCAGCACGTCATTGTTGATTTACCTGGATGGGAGCTCATGCATATCTTCAATATCTATGTGCATACGGCTGAGGGCATGACGGTGCGCAATGCGCGTATCCTGTGCTCTGTAGGCGAAGCCATGTTTCGCATTCTCGCCCCGTGCATCATCGGCGGCGACTGGAACATGCCTGCCAGTGAGGTGGAGGACTCCACTTTCCCAGCCAACGCGCAAGTCAACTTGGTAGTTCCGACGGCTATCACATGCCGCACTGCCCGCTCGTGTTCCACGTTAGATTTCTTTGCGTTGAGTTCTGCAGCGATGCGTTCGCTCAAATGTGTTTCAGCAGAGATGGCGTGGTCAATCAAGCCTCATCGACATGTTCAGTTGCAGCTTGCAGTTGATGGGCAGTCTCTGCAGTACCTTGCTTACGGCATGGCGCCTAAGATCCCTGGCGTGCAGGTTCACGGGCCACACTGCGAAGACTCGTCCTGGGCCACTGAGGCGTCCTATGCTGAGCATGCGGTGGAGTTGGCCAAGCACCAACGCGCTGACGGCGCCTGGGGTTTTCTGTCAACAGCTTAGGCCAAGTTCGTAGTACGCGCAGCTCAGAGGCTTTCGCATGTCACCGCCACAGAGATTAAGGACTTCAACCCCTTCGCCAGGTGCCCTACGCCAAGGTGGGTGGAGGTCAGCTATGAGGCCAAGGATCCCGAAGGTGTTCAAGCCCGCGCCGAGGGCTGGCGGTGGCTTCACAATGCTATCACCTACATCATCCAGCTGGGCGAGGGCGCCTCTGCCAGGCCTACTAGCGGCCAGCCAGCTTCGACGGTTTCGTTGGCGACAAGAGCAGTTCCGTGCCCACAACCTGCAGCTGGTCACGCCATGGACGTTGAGGACCACGATCCGTACGAGGACCTGGCTGCAGAGCTGGATGACAGTGATACCACTCAGAATGGGAATCGGTCTAACATCGGATCCAGGCCATATGCCAGCCCCCACCCCCCTGCTGTGTCTTGCAGGCAGGATGGCAGTCTCGATCCGAACCCTGGCGGCGATACGGCGCCGTTGCTGGATGCAGCTTGTCTAAACTCGGCGCCTGGTGTGCACAGACAGCGTGATGGCTCCTCCGCCAGCCAGCTGGCGCGAGAGATCGAGTCTTTCCAGGCGCTGGTCTACGTCGACCAGGGGCTCAACCACAGGCCCGACGCCACCGTGGAGCAAGCCCGCAGGCTCGCCTCCTACGCGCCGCTTCGCATTGACAACCTGCGCGAGCTGCTGGCCGACATCGAGGAGGACCTCCAGGCCGTCCACCAGGAGGCAGGCCGAGACAGCAGCAGTCGCTGGAAGGCGTGGTGTGACCAAGCTAGTGCTGGCGGTGCTCGTGGCCTCCACCGCGTCACCAAGGTCAAGGATGCGCAGCAGCCGACTGTTGTTCACAGAGCCCGAGGTGCCACTGCTCATCATCATCACGTTGTTCGGGACATGGAGAAATCCTACATGGACGCGTGGCATGGATCAGCGCAGGCGCAATGTGCTCGTGTTCCTGATCGCGCGCCCCTGCCGAGAGCCGCGCCTGAGCAGATCAGAATGGCTGCGAAGTCCTTTCCGTTGTCGACTGCCAGCAGCCTGGACGGCATCCACCCGCGCTGCTTCGCGTTCCTCAGTGATGATGCGCTCGACGTGCTGAGCGCCCTGTGGGAGGCTACAGAAGCGCTCTGCATGCTGCCGAAGCAATTGCAGTGGATCCTCCTCACCATGCTCCCTAAGCCGACTGGCGGGCACAGGCTGATTGATCTACGCTGCCAGCTACCGCATCTGGCAGCACGCCAAACGAGTGCATTTGGAACCTCTGCAGCAGTTTCTTGATCGCAAGTACTGGGGTGTCTCAAATGGCAGGTCGGCGATCGACAACGCTTGGGTGCTGGCGGCACGGACTGAAGTGGCCGCGTCTACTCAGATGCATTATGTCACGCTGGTGGCTGACTATTCGAAGTATTATGAGGAGATTAACCTTGACGGGCTGCAGTTCAAGTTCGACCAGATGCAGGCACCCACTGGTTTCACTAAGCTCATCTTCAATACGTGGCGAGGCCCACGGATCATCAGGTCTCAACGGCATCATGTAGAGTTTCCAGGATTTGCAGTGCGCGGAGTACCTGCTGGTGATGGTGTTGCTGACATTGCCATCAAAGTTCACGCGCTGGCGGTGTATGACAGGCACGTGTGCCTTCACCCGCTGGCATCTTTTTCCAGCTATGTTGACGACACGGCGATTGGCCTGCATCGCGCCGATCCGCAGCGTGTCATCCAGCTTGCCGCCCAGGCTGGGCGCGATTTTCAGCAGGCGGCCAAGAGGCTTGGATCTCGTATCAATGACAAATTTGCCACCGTCGCTTCTAGTGCTGCGCTTGGGCGAGAAGTTGCACTGCAGTTAAATGTGTCTGGGGAAGCGGCAGTCAGGCGTGTTGTCTCCTACCTAGGCGTCGACTACTCAGCAGGTCGCGCTCGTCAGGCCCCAGGAGCTCGCGCCAAGCAGCGGGCTCGCCTGGCTCGGCACAGGAGGCGGATGCGCAAGATATCCCAGCACAAGAAGGCGATTCCTGTGAAGAAGGACCTTCGCCTAGGCAGGATTTACCGCACTGACGCGCGCCCTGCATGCACGTACGGAGTAGAAGTCAATGGCCTGACTGATGCAGAGCTTGGTGATCTTCGCCGTGCGCATGGGCGCCAGGTCAAGCCTTACCACGGGGGCGCGTCGGCCACGGCCAAGCTGGCGCTGGACGGCGACCCCGCCATCCGACAGGCGATCGCGCCAGTCATTCAGTACAGTCGCATGCTGTGGGAAGCTATTACACGTCCTGAGCGTGCGCTTGTACCGCAGAAAGATCTCTTGCTTTGGTGGGACTCTGCTGTTACGTTCTTGGGCCGCCTTTTCAGCTGGGCTAAGTCACGAGGGCCACTGGAGCGAGCGGCTCTGTGTCTTGAGCGCGTCGGCTGGACCACACACAGCGGTGCCCTCTGGCGTGATCATCTGGATCAAAAAGTTCGTGTCGACCATCTGTCACCAGCCGTAGTTGAGGACCTGCTCAGTGCGGCGATGCAGCGGATGCTCGAATGTCAACTTGCTGACAAATGGGGGTTGCCTGCTGGAGTTCGTGTCACGTTCGGCCTCATGCAGGGCGCGGTCCGCGAGCGCTCGGCCAAGTACACCAAGTATCAGAAGTTCCTCATTCGCACTTGTGCATGCGAAGGAGCGTGGACACGACAGCGGGCACGAGAGCGCGGGTACGACACCAACGGCCTCTGCAGTTGCGGGCAGCCTGGTACTGTCCACCACAGGCTCTACTCCTGCACGCGAGCTGACGTAGTCGCGGCTCGGTCTGATAGCGGAGTCAGCCCGACGTTCATCCAGGAGGGTCACGAAGCTGATGGGGATCTGCGTTACGTCACAGGCATTCGCCTACGAAGAGCGTCTGCTGCCACCGCTTGACAGCGGTACGACTGTCCACCTTCTCGATGCTGATGGTCATGGGGCAAATTGTGAGCCTGAGACTCTCTGCAACATCATTGCCCCCAGAGCCCCGTCCGTGGAGATTGCAGTGGACGGCTCTTGCAGTGTGCCGCTCCTTGCAGCTGCTCGCCGCGCTGGCTGGGCTTTGGCGCTGCTGGACCCGAGCGGCAACCAGCCGCTCCGGGTGATGTACGGTGCAGTCCCTGGCTCCCTGCCGCAGCGATCAGCCATGGCTGAGCACTTGGCACTGGCATACGTCGGCCAAGTGGTGGACAGGCCGACGGACGTCCTCGCTGACTACATGGCTGCTGTGCTTGAGGCCACCAAGAGCCCCGAACAGCAGCTGCGACCTGGTGCGCGATATGGTTGTGTCAAGCTTGTTGGTCAACAGATGCCTGGATTTCATCACATTCGGTCCGTGTCACACGTGAAGGCACATCGCTCTGCTGACCAGTATGCTCAGTTGTCTGAGGTTGATAAGCGTCTCACGGACGCCAATGTTGTTGCTGACGTCTTCGCCAAGCGCGCGGTCCAGCTGCATGAGCCCGTGCCGCATGAGCTTGATGAGCAGCTCGAGGCTGGGCTGCGCATCGCGAATGGTTTCGTGTCTTTGGCCGCCGCCGTGCTGCCGCTTTTCGACAGAGAGGAGCTTTGGGCACGAGTGTCGGTGGCACAGCGCGCTGCACACATCCAGCGCACTCGTTGGCATGACTGGCGTCGCACAGTGATAGGCGAACAATGTAGCAAGTGTTTGTGTTTAGCACATGACACGCATGACAAGCCCCTCTCAGGATGTAGGGGCATGCCCAAGTATCTTGACAGTTTTGTGCGTACCCCTCTAGGTCACACACTTGTAGCTGTGAATCAGGGGGGCAAGGCCCCTGCGTGCCCAGGTTGCTGCCGCCCAGTGTATGTGTGTACTAAGTGCGGTGCCTGGGCTCAGCAGTCCAGGAGGAACAAATTAAGACGACCTTGCGAGCCCTCCACCAGGAAGGGGCTTGAGGTCCTTGCGAATTTACGTAACGGAGTTGGCCCCCACAAGGGGCTCGCTCGCCAGGTTGACGCCGCCCTCCCAGCTCTTCAGTCCGTGTCTTGTGCTGTGAGGCGTCCCGAGCTTGAGACCACACGCGTTTCCAGAGCTCCTGTGTCCGAGGGCCCCCCGACCTACGAGTCCAGGATGGCTGCCCTCGCCGAGAGAATTCGTCTGAAAGAGCAGGCTGCCTCAAGGTAGTCTGTTTTCAGGCCTGGCAAAGTCGCCGAAGGTTGTGCTTTGTTTTGCACGCGCCAGGGCCCAGAGCTGCTGGCGTGATCAGGCTGAGCCGCCATCCTCCTCGGAGTTTCAGGATTCAGCATCCTCCTCCTCCTCCTCCTCCTCCTCCTCCTCCTCCTCCTCCTCCATCTCCTCCTCATCCTCCTCATCCTCCTCCTCCTCCTCCTCTTCCTCCCCCTCCTCCTCCTCCTCGTCGACCCTCCTCCTCCTCGTCCACACCAGTCGGGCCCTAGCTGCTGATGGATTGGAGATGGCTCCGAAGAGTGTTCTCTTATGCTCTCACCACTGCGATGCCCGCGAGGTGGCCTCCATCCTCAGGAGGAAGGGCATCACCATCCTCCCCGTGCTGCAGGCGGGCTACCTCGGCGTCGACACAGGCGCGGGGAGGCCAGCCAGGAGCACAGCGAGGAGACGCGTGGTGAAGGCGTCCAGCATGAACGAGCGGATCCGTCGATTTGCACGAGCTGCTCGGCGATATCGGCCAGCGGTCCGCCTCGAGAAGGCTGGGGCCCAGGCCGCGGGGCACTACGGGCACCAGATCTACGGCGTCTTCGGCAGCGGGCTCCTGGCGATGCGCAGGCGGCTCGGCCAAGTGGCGAGCTCGGCGCGGAGGGGGCGGTGCCTCACCTCCGTCCTGGACCTTCGCTGCCCAGGGCAGTACCCAGGGTACAAGCTGCCTCGGGAGTGCCTGAGGCTTTGGCTCGCCGCGTGGGCGTCGACACCGAAGTTCCATGCGGGAGTCAGCGCGGTCCGGGGCAAGGCCGTGAGCAAGTTCCGGATCCTGACCGCTCAGGAGTGCGCCAGGCACATCAGAGGGCCCATGGGGGCGGTCACCTGCTACCTCTTGCAGTACGACTGGGACCCCGTGGCCCCCACGGAGTGGGGCACCAGGCCAGCTGGGACCGAGGGCAGAGAGGCCTCCATCTTCGAGCAGCTGCAGCCCCACGACGACATGACGGACTTGCTCGACGAGTTCGAGTCGTCGGTGCGCACCCAGCAGTGGCGCACGGCGGCGACTCATTTCTGCGGCGCTGGCCTGGAAGGGGGCGCGGACAACGCCTCCTACAGGAAGTTGCTCATGGCCCTTGAGCGTGCAGGGCACGGGCACCAGCTTGCAGAGATGATGTTACGTATGCGTGGCTGTCGGGGAACCTTGGCCCAGACAGAGGATCCACGACGAGATCGGGGGAGACATAGACATCCTGTGCCCCCGTTGCGGCGAGGCCCCCGAGACAGCTTTTCATAGAGTGTGGTCTTGCAGGTCCAACGCAGGGTCGGCGGCTTTTTCGGTCTCCGACGTGTTGTCACCTCAGGCGCATTCGCAGCACGAGTCGGAAGCAGGCTTCTGGCTCAGAGGCATCATCCCAGCGGGCTGGACATGCGTCGAGCCACCGCAGTCTGATTTCAGTTGGAGTGCCAGCGGAGCTGCAGGTACACCCGATAATTGTATCCTTGGGGTCGGCTCGCCTAGCCGACCCCTTTTTGTCTTCGGCGATGCCAGTGGAGGGGAAGACTCGCGAGACGAACGACTCCGCAGGGTAGGCACTGGTCTCGTCAGCGTAGATAGTTTCGACCCGTTCCACGTTGCTGTTTCGCTCCGTAGCCCGCTGCCTGGAAGGAAGCAGACGGTGCCAAGAGGAGAGCTGGCCGCGCTGTGGGCAGCAAT